ACATTGTTACCATGACAATTTCACATTTTATCCAATCAGAATTCACTGCCATCCTAACATCAACCAATCCATTTTATTSTCATCTTCTTAGCTACCCAGTTGTTCAAGTTAATGCACAAGTAYCGACCAGAAACTAAGGCTGAAAAGAAAGCAMGACTCACTGCCAAGGCTGAACAAAAAGCTGAAGGCAAAGACGAGCCTGCTGGAAAGAAACCAATGGTTGTAAAATATGGTATCAATCATGTAACAGGACTGGTTGAGAGCAAGAAAGCACAGCTTGTTGTAATTGCACATGATGTGGATCCTATTGAGGTTAGTATTGTTGTGTGTATATTTTTCAAAATTGATGAAAACTGATACAAATTTTGACCTGCTACTTTATTTATGTCTGTTTAAGCCACAGCACAGGTTTTCACAATATCTATCAGTGAAAATATTTCAGCTAAAAATCATTTTTTCATGTTATTGATTTTCCTTGCAGATTGTTGTGTGGCTTCCTGCTCTGTGCAGAAAGATGAACGTTCCTTACTGCATTGTTAAAGGAAAAGCCAGGTTAATTTTCAGTCATTTTATAAAAGCCTTTTCCAATTGATTCTGCAAAACAGAGAGAAAAAAATGTGCTTAACATTTTAATTTTTTTTTATCTAGACTGGGAAAGGTTGTTCACAAGAAGACTGCCACAGCACTCTGCTTGACTGGTGTCCGCCCAGAAGACAAACATTCATTAAATAACCTCATCGAATCAGTCAAAAACAACTACAACGATCGCTTTGATGAGATCAGAAAGCACTGGGGTGGTGGTATCATGGGACCCAAGTCTCTTGCTGCTACTGCCAAAATGGAAAAGGCTAAACTCAAAGAAATGAAAGTGTAGACAGAATTATTGAGGCAATAAAATGAGCTTACCTTTAGCAACRAGTGTTTAGTTGTACTGACTTTAGACATGTTTATAGTCTCTGTCACTCTTTACTTTTGAACAAGAGTGTTACTAAAAGGAGTTGGTGTCCTTCTGAAAAAAGGATAATCGACATTTTTAGAATAATGGCAATCTTGTGACACTGAAGAGTAATATTGAAACTTTGTTTAGAGATTTTTACACCCTGATGGTATTCCAATAATTGATCCTAATYTCTTTTTCTGTTGTTAGAGTGATCACACTTATCCGTGCAACTGTACAAACTAAATAGTGCTATGTAGTTGTATTTAGTAAATCATGCACGCGATACGCAAATTAAATTGAATTGATACAAATGAAGCATTCAATACCGTCTTGCTTCAGGTTCACTTTTAGTACAAATTAGTACTACTTAGATTTTGTGCAGTTGCACGGATTAAGTGCGATCACTCTAYTGTCTTATTCGTTTCAATTCGTATTTTCAAATGCATGCTTGTTGTTTTGCCTATTTCTGGGTTGCCTTTGGAAGGCTGTCAACACAGGAAACCCAYTTCAACTGAATTCAAAATGGCGGCGGGAAAAACGTTTCATTAACGATATATTCATCTAAAATCTATCATGATGTGTAATCAGAGTATATTTTCCAACATGYGGTATTGTCCTGAAACTGTAATTGTACAATCATCGCTTTTTCTCGCTGAAAAACATGCACACTTGAAGGGTAAAAAGGTTGATGTCTTCCATGGTAAGGAGGTGAAAGTTGTGACGGACGCCATTGAAGAGGTGTCGCAAGGACTATGCATTCAAGGCGAAGAAGGATACGAACTTCTTTCAAAAGAGAAACAAGCCCTTCACGATAAGTTACACTTTTGGTTGTATAAAACATGGTGCCAAGCATTAGATAGCAATGACCTTGACGTTGAAGCAGACCTTGACGGATTTCCACCTCTTCCGAGTTTTGGAACGGGATTTTTTATTTCTATCGTGCAGCACATGGAATGGGAGCAACTTTTAGTTGAGGTTAGATTACGAATATTATCGTTTGCATTTTTTTTGTATGATTTTATCATCATTACTGCCATTTCTAATAATAAATCCAATTCCAATCATTCATCTTTTCTCAACCTTCATCCATCCATTTTCACATCTTTTCATTCATTTTTGCACTTTTCATTCCCATCTATACTTGTAAATTCTACGTTTRCACTTTAACTTTGCTTTGTCTTGTTCCACTTTGACAGTGTTTAGTTGATTCGCCCAATGATTTGCCATTAGCTTCCAAGCTACGAGAAATCACMGCTGCAATTCTAGATTCACCTACCATGAAGGACACAGAACTTTTTGCATTGATGTTTGACAACCTATTGCATCTTGAATCTTCTGAAGTTGATCCTGAATGCCCAAGTTCAAGTGAAATACTCATAGCTACACTAGCTTCTCTATGTAAACACATTCACAATCAAAATACTCAAGTTTGCCTTCTAAAAAGAACTATTGAATACATTTTCCAGCATTTTTTCAACACAAGACCTGCATCTCTCTCAGAAGACAAAAAGTCCTCTCTTATAAGTGGGTTAAAATTTGACAGCATAAAACCTCTTGAAGGTGAAACTTCAGAAAGAAAAGATGCAAACAGCATGATTCAAGTTGCTGAAGTTTTAGCCATGTTATTTACAGAACAGTGGRCTGAAGTCAGTCATTGGACTTTAGCTCAAGACACAGGGAATATTGGAAAGATGGATATTTCAATGTGGCATCCAATGCATCATTGGATTCTGGCTTTGTACGTTGCCCTTGCTCTAATAATGAAAGACAACAAGTGTAATGAGAAATTAAATTTATTCCAACATGAACTTGGAAAGTATGTTGACACTTTTGCATCTATCACTGAAAAAGACTGGGTTTCTCAAGGCCTAGAGGGTACTTCAATAGAATGGAACTGTTATAATACAACTATAGAGGAGTGCTTTGACCCAAATGGTAAGACAGGGGCCAAGAGAACTTTTAGCAGTTTCGAGCAAAATTTTCATAGTTCAATGCATAAAATATGTTCTCAAAGCCCCTCAAAATGCTGGAAATCACATTTCGAGTGCTCAAAATTTCAAAAATTCGAGGACACCCTACTTGATGTACGAGCATTCAATGCTCTGTGGACCCTGCATAATTGCAAGTGCATTTTCAATAAATATCATAAGAAATCTGTGGTGCCGTATGTTATATATTATACATTCATTTTTTCTACAGGTTGTCAGGAAATTATGTTCAGCAGTGAATCCATCCAAGACACCTTAGAAAATGCAGTATGGAGAGTTAACAACAACCTGCCAGGATCTAAAGACTGTTTCAAGTGGCTGCTATCTGCAGAGGAGGTTTTTGATGATCCAATATGTTTGGAATGCATAACAAAGAATGCTTCAAACAATGCAGGGAAAGAAGAACTAGTGATGATGATTGACATCATTTGTGTTCAAAGACAAATGATGGAGACTTTCCCTGATATGGGTAGCGAAGTGTTTGCAGCAATTAAGAGGGTAAACATTGTAGAACTATGATGATTTAATGGTCCGAACTGTGTTGAATAAATGTGTAATAATATGATCGTTGCAGTGTCGCACTGCAACGGTATACATGACTTTCAAAAATGGCGGCAGTTCATGTCCGCCTATATTGGGGACTAGTGACGAATCATGGAAACGAGACCTCAAAGGCCTTCCATCAAGATATCACTACGAAGATCGTGTGTAGGCAGTGTCCAAAAGGTTGAAAGATGTATTGGTATGTTATTTATAACAAAACACTCTTGCAAGGCACCATGGAAGCTCACTATACGGAGGCTGGCCTTTAAGACCTCGTTTTAGTGCTTCATCCCCAGTGCCCTGGCCGGCGACTGTGACACATTGCGCCATTTTTGAAAGTCGTGAATGGTAGAGTTCATGGGTTCGATTCCCGTTGAAGCCAGAAATTTTTTCGAGCGATCCATACATTTATTAATAATCGCTTAGATTATTATCCACACTGCGACAAACATACAAATCATTACACATGTAGACCTATATTGTTAATTAATTCATTTATTTTCTGTCTTTGCAAAGGTTATTTTAGATGTATTCAAAGAACTTCCTTCACTTCACCAAAATGATATCTTGAAGTACACCTTCTCAATGTCAATAATGTCTGGTTTAGACATAAAAAACAACTCAATACTGTTCAACCCAAGCCATAATGAAGACAACAAGAARGCTTTCTCGCAACAACTTCAAGYAGTTTTCAACAAGCTTGTTGATGATAGCCAAGCGGTATCCTTTCAAAGAGCTTTGAATGACATCAAGAAAATGGCMCTTGTAAKTCCTTATATGGTCATGTATAAAGTGCTGAATGAGGCTGTGAAATATGGACATTCAAACAAAGTTATTTATCAGGTAAATACCAATAATGCCAGGACATTTAGGGAGATATTGAATGATAAATATTTGCTTCAATCTATGCTGGTTGAGCCCAGTTCTTCCCTTCTTGCTCTTTAAGCATACTAGTTCATTCTTTGATTTCTCTGTAAGATCCATATAATAAATGTATTCATAGTCATTTTCTATCCACAGATCATCCAAGAAATTCCCGTCTTGTGTTCTTTGAGCACAAGTGATTCATGTCCCAAAGTACTCTTTGAAACACTGTCATTTTTGATGGCTTCAGTGAAGACCAAACAGGAGGAAAAGAACCTGRTCAAACTTGTCCAGAGTCTCCTGCAGGTAAATTTTATTTTTGTTAATTGAAAACTGTTTTTAACATCATAAACAATTATGATGATGATGATAATAATGATACAATGTATTGTGATTGTGATAAAATGAATTTATTCATTCAGCCATTCAAATGTTCATCCATTCATTCTCTCATTCATTTAAATTATAAAACTATAAAACAGATATTTTGAGATATTTTTTCTGTCATTTGCAGCCTTACAAAAAAGACAGACTTCTAGCACCAAATSAACCATTAGCAAACATAACTGAACTAGTACAAAGCTGCGTCATTCCTCACATGAGATTTAAAGATGATATCCCRCTGATGAAGGTCTCTCTAAAGGTCCTGAAATCTGCTTTGACTGTGCTTGACCATAAAAAACAAGAAAACAAAGCATTCATCTTAAAGTACCTCATTCCYATTGTATTAACACTTGCCAAGCATCTTTATGCCTGCAAAGTATCATGGGAAGGAATGAGTCCACAGATAACTATTTCTTTGTCATTTTCTGAAGTGSGTTACTTCAGGGGACATGTATTAGAAGTCCTTGGGGTATCATGTGATRTCATTGTAAAGTGTTTTCAAGGCCACATTGGGGAGATTGCTGGCCCTCTTGATTGGCTGCTCAAAAAGGTGAAAGATCTTGGTAAGTTGYGAAGAGAAGAACCTTTTTATGTTAACTGAAGCATCGCAAATATAACTTTTGTTGTAATGCGCAGTACAGATCATGTTGGGATTGATCAGAATGTAAGAGACATTTCTGTACTAAATCGTCATTGCCATTGCGCATGCTCGTAGTACTTGTTTGCTGGAGGTATCCCACATGGCTTAGYGACTGTTGTTTGTATTGTTTAGACTGGCTTACCGCGTTACACTTCAAACAKCTTCAAGACATCTTACCTGTAAAACGTCCTTGCTACCTACCKTCATGTTTACTTGAGATTTGTGAAGTGAAGGAGGAATGCTGGAAATTCTTCGAGATGGAAAACTGTGGTGCGTAACGAGAGATTAATAAAGTATTAGGATAATATTAATAATCAATGTTCGTGCCGTCCAGCTTCTTAGGCAATGCAGAGCTATATTCATTGTTCGGTTTCAACTTTTTTTCCGTGAGTACCCAAACGGTGGCTTTGCTTGTCCTTTMTTTCCATTCACTAGTGAAACTTTTCATTGGTGAAATTTTGGTTGTACCTTGCAGATTTTCTCCTCGTTTTATTTCAATGCTGTTCTGTATCGGATTCGATACTTGATGAAATCGTGAACGCACTTAAGAAAGAATCAATGGGAAAAATGACTAGAAGTTTTAACGATGAACTAGCGAAAAACCTTTGCAAGGTAAGCAGTTGTGGGATGTTGACCGTAACGTAATCGTAACTGTGCAGTAAACGTAACCGTAACTGTGCAATAGTCTAAGGAACCGTAACCGTACCGTAACCTTAAACATACGGTGACCGAAGCCGTGTACCGTAACCACTTAGCCGTAAGATAGCCGTACCGTAACCGTAACGTAATTCTAACCATACCGTAACCTCTTAATCGTAGAGCGGATTTCATATGACTGTGCAAAAAAAACCGGTACTTTCGCGCTGTGACCTACAGTGCAGTAGCGGTGACGTATTGTTAAATCTTATTTTTATTTGGAATCCTAGAAGGCGAGTGTCCGTGTTGCGWTCCGTGCCGTTGCACAGTCATACGAAATCTGTTCTAATGTAGCCGTGACGTAACGTACCGTATGGTTAACATACTGTGAGATTAACTATGCAGCAAATATTGCCATAGTCTGTTTGCCATTCGTACGAAATSCGCTCAATAGTCAGGTTTTATCTTATATGTCTTTTTTACCTAATAATGAAGTGTTCTCCTTCAATCCAGGTAATGCCATACTTCTCAACGACCGAACTATCTCGAGTTATTGCCATATGCAAACAATTGATTACAAGATGTGCCCAAGTCCAGAAGGTAATTTATATAACACAAGACAAAATCTCTTGAAATATAATTTCGTGAGCGCCTGAAAGTCGACACTATAATCACCGAGAGGCGTTTTTTTTCGGCCTGCGGCGAAGATTCKCAGGCTCTGGGTACGAGATTCCGCGCGCGCGTTGAGGTTTTGGCGGGCATTTGATTTGTGGGGTTGAAAATCTTAAAAACTAGAACTGACGCGCACTTTTAAGTAATTAAACTAAACTTACTATTGCAAACTGTATTCAACTACACATTTTTKTAACATAATGGTTTTATTTTTTCAGCGAGAAGTTGAGGGTCCCATCGTTGTCAACGAAGCTATTTATGGTAAAAATTCTCCCTTTTTAAAATTCTCGTCTTACATTGCTTCAATGGTATTTCCATCCCAACACTTAACGCAGTTATTAAGAGGCAAAAATGCAATATTTTCAGGATATTACGTGATCAAAAATGAGACAACATCGCCCTTAAGCCTTGGAGGTCTATTTCCATTAAACAAACAAAGTACTTTAGAACATTCAGGAATCTTTACAACACTTATCATTACTTTAATGCCAGTGTACTTAGACTGGGGTTGGTTGTGTGTGTGTGTTTTTTTTTTTTGTTGTTGTTGTTGTTTTTTGTGTGATAAAATAATCCACAGGCAGTCCATCCTTTCTTACTTTCGTAATATATGAAAATGCCTTCCCTCGCTTACTGGTGAATTACAGCAAGCTTTCACCACCCCAAACCTCCGTTCCGGGCACAAAACGTTCGTTAACTCAAAAGCACTTTATATTTTCATTCATCAGCTAATAAGAGCCTGCGCACTACCTATTTGTTGTCCAGCGTCCTTCACCAAGTCTTCAAGATAGTTTCACAGCCCTTCTGTTCCTTTTGGGCCTCCCCAGCGATACTGGGAAATATGATCAAGCACTACGTGAACGCAATCAAAGGACTGTACCAGGAACTGATCACTGGTGACCTGTCAGACAAGGTGTGCTTAGTATGAGTGTRTTTATTATAGTGGTTCTGTATCCCTGAAAGACACATAAACCAGCTTTGTTTCATGGGTTTATGAAAACCACCAAATTCCGTGAAATATATAGCGCACTACGGCTTACTGCTCTTTATTTGACATAAATTTGTTTTCCTTTTGGGTGTATCACGCTTTATTGTATTTGACTAGTGCACTTTGTTTCACGGGTTTATTGAACCACTGTTAACCCGTGAAATACAATGCGTAATAAGCCTCATTGCTCTAAATTGCATGCATTTCTTTGTMTTTTCCATGTTAAAGTCGCTCTTAGAGCGCTTGTGGTTACTCCAAAACTCGACGAGGCGTATTCCATGAGGCACTCGTCCTTTCCGTTGCGATAACGATCGTGATATAATCGAACCAATTTCGGAAAAGAGTCGCGTATAAGTCGGGTGTTGCAGATTTCTTGCTTGCTTACATTGCGACGACAACATGGATTACTCCGTAACGGAGTAACCACAAAAACTATTATATTCTCAAAACTATTACAGTTTGATAATGCTGGACAGGATTAAACCCAATACGTGAAGTCTACTGAAACTTTATTACAGTTTGACAATAACACTGCGGTAGTGGAACCAATGACTCCATTATCAAGGCAGTTAAGTTTATCGTAAAAGACTCGCCAAAGTTTTCTTGCTAATTGTTCTACACTTGTCTTCCAGGTCGCAGTAGATGATGTCATCGCGTGCATATTCACCGACATATGTCACGTGATATGCTTGGTTCCTAGTGACGTCACAGATCCTCTATTCATTTTAGTACTGGAYGTTGCTTCAAGTGTCAGTGAACGTCACGCTGATGACTTGAAAAACTGCGTCACCATGGTGCCCAATAGTGTTTATACCGAGTCATTGATTCAAAAACTCAGTGGTACGTGATGAAGATCATGACGTCATAAAGGTACGTAATCACCTTTAGCACGTGACAGCTCACGTGTCTAGTGACGAGGCTTTACTAATTTTAATTTCCATATTTGGCTCTCGATAACCTGTGGAATCTAACGGGGACATAATGGAAGAGGTGTGACAGGGATGCAGCAATATGGCGCGTTAAAGGGACACCGAGGAACACTATTTATGCGGTCCATTTTTTATRGATGTGTTTAAACAAAACAATCGGAAATACAATGTTTGACGAAAGTATTAAGTATTGTATAACAGAAACGTCTTTTTATTTATGAATTAATGAGGTCCATAAACGAATGTATCGATTCTTTAATGGAGGACGAGATGAATGGATAAATGAATGGGATGGGATGAATAAAAGCAATTAATTTTCAATGAATCCTTTACTCAAGTTATCGGATKATAAAGAATGCTAAGGATGCTGGGATTAATTAATCGAATCAATTGAAGAACAGATATTCGATAGTCGATGAAAATGGATGAATGAATGGAGTGGGAAATGAGAAAACGAATGGATGAATAAATGGAGTGGGAAATGGGAAAATCAATGGATGAATGCATCAAAAAATGTCTTGTTGAACAAAGTGGCCATTCATTTTCTATTTTTTACTTTAAWYTGTGATAAAAAAGCTCCGGGATTGAAGTTTTTGCATGTTCAAATGTATGTCTTGACGTGATGTGATCATCAATGACTCACGCGTGACTAACGTTAATCCATCGTCACTTTTCACTGCACATATCACCATCTATTAATCATTAAACGCAGAAAAAAAATAACGGAAAAACTCCAAATTATTAACTGATAAAGATAATGTCACAACAAATTTATCTGATATTTAAAGTGGTCTTCAACATTATTATACTGCAAGGAGGAGATTAGATCTTTGTTACTGATTTTATAATAGTTATGAAATCGTTGTTAGAAGTTTAATTCTGATCGAGGTTTGTGAAAATTAAGATTAAGAAAATGTTTATTAGTATAGGATTTGAAAATACAATATCGTATTTCACTGCAAGAGTGAGAAATGCTTATTAAGTTATAAGTGAAAAACTTAATCTTCTGACCAAATAAACCTTTCCGATCTAACGGAACATCGGTCCACTACTTACACAACTTCTTTCACCTCAAATGATAAAGTCTACTTTGGTTAGMAGTCCGCTATGTTATAATCTGATTCTAAATCGGCGGAAAAATCGACTGACAACAAAAGAAAACAACTAGAAAGCATGCATACATCCCTCAGATGAGGTCGTTTTGGCTTTGTAGCATTGTGTTGAAGTCTTGAGTAAAATTATTGTAACGGTTGTAAGCTTTATTGWCTCGTTTTATTGCTTTTATATAGTTTTCCTGATGCATAGCTAGTTGGAATAAACTCCAGTTTCAGGTCGTCTATATTTCTTTCTTCGCTTTACTGGTTCTGAAAAGAGCAAGCTCTTGTTWYGTTTTGTGAAAACGTTTTGTTTTTCATGTGCTCTGTATGTGAAATGKTTTTTTRGCATTGCGAGATGGTAGAGGTTYGTCCTACCGTGGAGTGAAACATTCATTGTTATTTATTGYATAAGTGAYATAGRTTTGCCAATGATTTGTCYCTWTTTGTTAAAAWTCAYGTGATTATTACTTGCTTTTAGTTTTAGAGTAAAGTCAAAAACYCCGTGAAATAGATATTACACTACTACACCTTAGTACGTTCTAATTATTGCATTGTTTTGTTTTGTATCAATTTGACTATCACACTTTAATAGGCAAATTTTGTTTCACGGGTTTAAAGTAAAGTAAAAACCGTGAAATAGATATTACACTAATACTCCTTAGTACGCTCTAATTGCATTGTTTTCTTTTKTGTCTATTTKACTAGCWAACTTAAATAGTCCATTTTCGTTTCACGGGTTTAACGACTTCACTCTTGTATTTTTCTTCAAGTAATACCGAGTGCGTGTCGTTATAAAAACATCGATGCTATTGATTAAACATCTTTTTCTTATTYTTAATTCAAAAAAATCAATTCATATTAAAAATACGATCTCTAACAATATAACTTTACCTCACACTTATGGCTATATCATCTTTTCTGCATGTCTACTTTAGATTGTTTGCGATGTTGTCAATGAAGGTTTTGTAAATCTTTAATATGTATTCATTTTGTCCCAGACAAATTCACTTAAGTTTGGCACCCTTCGTTTACAAAAATTYATTGAATCGCAAGTTCAYTTGTTATTCTRGAAAATTTAACCCGACATTGCAGTACTTTATGAATCTACCCCTTTTTGTTTAATCAGAAACAATTAATTTGATTAGTAGACACTTTAATGTAATAACGCAGTTTTTTATTTCTCTTTTTAACCATTTTTCATCCATTCAGTTTTTTCATCCATTAAAACACTCGTTTTTTCATTAAATTTCATTGATTTTTATCCAAACATTACCTGAATTTGATTAATTTTTTACAGTCATTTTTATCTAGAGTTTCCATCCAATTTCCTCTGCAGTATACCTACTCTTGATAAGTTATCTTAAAGTGTAAACATCTCCCACAATAAATGACAACAATTCGCTACTTCATCGCCCAATTCAAAAGCTCAATAGCTCAAGTTTGTTGTCATTTTTGGTYCAATTACTACTTCGCATGCTTTAGTATATTCCCTAGTTACTTTCTACTGTATGGCCTTTCTTAGTGTGAGCTTTCGACTATCATTTTCCGCTACGGCCACTTGGAACTTGACGACAGTAAGCTAAAGAGGCACTTGAAGTAACAGTCGGTAATCCTGCACGACAAACTTTGTCAACAAAACACAAAACCTCTATAATTTTACACCATTTTTAGACGCGGAAAATAGGATTTTCGTTTTCTACTTAGGAATTATAATTATATCAGTTGTGKTTTTTAAATTGCCGGCATTTTAAGTCCATTTTTGTTTGTCATGGAGTCATTTGTAGGCACGTCTGAAAATGTCAAGCACACCAGGAGATGACAATTAAGGCTCCTGTAGCGGGCGCAAGTTTAAAAGCACGCAAGATGCTATGTGTRACTAAAACTCATCATATACAAGGTTGTAGCTTCTCAAGGTTTATCAAATAATAAAGTTTTATATTTATAGCGAGTAATTCTTTAAGAACAACATTGAAAAAACTCGAATCCTTTAAGCGTAATTGGTGTTGTTACTCCTTATCGAAAAAACTCATCTCGCGACATCTGTATTAACAGCAAATTTGGTTCTCTGTATAGAAAATTAATTATCTTCGCTTTWGACAAAAATTTAAAGTTTCTCGTAATCCGTTTGTAAAGAGTTTATCGATTATTAAATTTTTAGARCAGTSTTCTCATCTCCATGACTCAACAGTTATCAAGCAATCAATAGCTTCACGCTAGTGTCTGGGAAATTCATTTCGCCAGTGTTTCAAACCACGGGGAACACATCTGTAAGTTTCTCACATTTCCAAACGTTTTACACTCTTGCATTTGTGTTTCGAGTGTTTTTATGKCGTGAAAGTCGAGTTTTTTGAACCAATTAGTTMGGTATGTCATTTTTCTTTTCGGCAATGAATCCTTTTCCGACCTTTGTTTGTCCACAGAAAGCCTTTAATTTCTTATAATTTGTCGAATTTACATCGGCGGAAAAACTTTGTATTTGTAAATGGCAACACGGCTATTAGATTAAACTTATTTAAACAACCTTGGCACGTTGGTTAGACCCAATTGCTCAAAGATATTACAACGAGCACCAGATTGTCAGTAATTAAGCGAACAAAGAGACCCACAATTAAAACAGTGTGGTTAGATTTTTTTAACTCTTTATCTTCGTAATCTGCTTCTCTTARAGACCATTTTCGGATGTTTTTGAAAGCCCTAACCCCCAATGACGATTACCAAACAGTGGTTGGTAAAACTACTAGAAAACCTCACTTCCCAAAATTCAAATTCCTTGCATTTACGTAATGTTCTAAGCCAGACGGACCGGTGTATATATAGAGAGCCCAGACGTCTTAACAGTTCAGTTTATAAAGATGRATGGGATCAATGCATACCCGAAGTGGATGTTGACCATAATTGTAATATTGAAMTTGCAAGCATCCATTGACTTAGCTCAAGGAAATCCTACAGTACAAAACARTGTTTCATTACGATGCCCGCGAACACGATCATGCCAAGGACGATGTAAGGATAAAGAGATGCTTGACACAGGAAAAGCTTCAGACCGGCACAGTCACTGCCATTGCGAYCTCTCTTGTTCAAAATACAACGACTGTTGTCACGATATTCTAACAGCTTGTCCGAATCGAACATCTCCGAAGCTACCAAACAACCAAAAGTTATCCTGTCTAAACCTTACCGACGACGAACCGCATTACTGGATGTTGGGCCATTGTCCTCCGACCTATAAGGACAAGGCAGTACGCGAGAAATGTGAAAACAAWGATGAATTACGAGCTGAAACGTTTTTCGAACAGATCCCAGTGTATGATATGATTTCAAACAATTCGCTGTTCAAGAACATTTGGTGTGCAAAATGTCACCTAGGGCGAACGAACTGGATTCTTTACTTYAAACTCAAGATAAAATGCAACGTTCGTCCTCCGAAGGRATTCAACTCAACGCAAACCTTGAAATACATGATAAAACACTGCGACARGATACAATTTAAGTTACCTAGTAAATCAGCTAGGAGGTTCTGTTTTCCTACCATTGACTCTTGCCCCGCGAGCGCRTCCGCCGAGGAGCGAAAAGCGTGCCTTGAGAGCCCCGCTAGTGTTGTTTTCAGCCGTTCTCAAGGWAAAAACTACCGAAGTATGGAGTGTATGGCTTGTAATGTGAATGCCAGCGTACTTCGCAAAGCKGAGTGYGGACCACAGGCCGGCGGAGGCAATTTATTCAATCCAAGTTCGTTTGAAGTTGTRATGACTTTYATAAAATCGCCTTTTGGAGAGGAAAGTAAAATCGTCRATGTGAAAACTACAGAAACATGTAATAAAGTAAGTATATTATTGTTATACTTATTGTTTCAAGGAATTAGAATGATTTTTTTTAAACGTGAAACAAAAAGTGTAAGGAAGTTTAGTAATCCGAAAAGAAAAAAAAATGGTGACAAAAAATGAATATAAAGTGTGGCACTCTAAAGAGTTATTTCATTGGTTATGTAAACCAATGTCTATATTTCCTACAGAAGATATGAGACTAACAAACCTACGCTCTAATAGCATTGTTTCCTTTTGTGTTTATTTGACTAGAGTACAAACACTAAAACTGTGCAACATAAATACCACTAAATACTGCTAAATTATGCTAATTCTATTGTTTTCTATTGTTTTAAATTAACACTATTTTGTAGTAAATAGTGGAAAGTGTTGCACACATTTAATGTTTGTACTCTATTACACTTTAATAGTCGAAGTTTGTTTCACGGGTTAAACTAAGTCGCTGTTTCACGGTTATATATTTTTTAGGCTTACAACAGTACGAAATAGTTTTACTGATATTTCACGGATTATGATCGCATTCTGTAATCATCGTTCCACATCGTTAAAGCGAAGTTATTAAACCCGTGAAACAAAATTTGCTGAATATTAAGGATGCGCGATGGTCAAATAGACACAAAAGAAGACAAAACAATTAGGGCGAACTAAGGTGTATTAGTGTATCTATTTCACGGGTTTTTTTTTACTTCATCGCCGTTAACGCCCGAGTAATGAGCTCAATTCACTTTCTCTTTGACTAGAAAATTTATAGATAATATGAAAACGCCTATAAAATGAACATGAAATCATAACATCAAAACAGCTAATACACTTCGTATTCAAGGCTTTTTCTATAACTTTGACAAGCTACGAGTTTCCGAATCTTTCGGCTCAAACAAACCGCGTTGAAAAACACTCATGAAAGAGACACAACATTCTTTTTCGAAAACGTCTGTTACATTTCTGCTCGTTTGGGGTTGTTTTGAGGGCTCTTACCATCCACAAAAGCTTCTTTASATTGAATAACGTTTGCCCACAACTCTGCACAAACAGCCTGTGCACGTATTGATCKGATCGCACGGGAGTGAAGGATCGACAAAACGTGATCGCGTCTCGACCCAACGCGATGAAACCAATTGAGCGTTAAAAAGAAAATCGCGAAAAAAACTAGCATTATTTGCCATTAAATTCCTTGTAATTATTGATTGTAAGATTCCATTCAATGTAAAAATGGCTTATAAGCTTTGCTCAAGTCTGCTTTTTTAACCATGAGGACGCGTCTTTGAGAATCAATTTGTCAGAAGATTGTATGAATTGACATTTGTGGGATATTTCGAAATAGCGCGTGTAAAGCTRGGCAGAATTTCTTAAAAGCTTGGATTGCAGGAGGCATTGTCAAACAGTGGCTAAATAATGATTGGCACACTTATAGAATAGTTCTGAAAGTGGATATTCTAGTTTTTCCTTTGCAYTGATCATAAATCAAACACGGCATTGCGTCACGAATCAACTTTAGTGAAGATGTAAACGATTTTCTTGTGACTATTATAAAAAAGTGGTGCATTTTAATTGTACCCATAACGATCTTCTCTGCTACTCAAAAGTGTTATTTCTTGATCGTTAAAAAAATGAAATCTTCAATATAGACTGAAGTTTACTCGATCAAATATTATACGTTATGAAAAATTGTTTTTTACATCTCTTTGCCAACTGAATTCATAACAGACATTTGGCTCAGACTTGGTATTTTCTTCAGTGGGAGGCATTATTTTATAATTAATGGAAATATTTAATCCACATCGAAAAGCTGGCGTTTTTCGCGGCTTACGAACTARGAGAAATTTAACCAAAATTACGTTATTTGTAAGCTAATTGTGGTAAAGATATCAAGAGGCAACGCTGACTAAAAGACATTTTTTAATTGAATATTTATGCCACAGTTCGAATCCTGACCTTCCCAAACCTTTTTTACTAGTAAGCGGTGTATGCAATAATTTTCTCTTAAAATTCTTCGTACAATCAACAGTTAGAAACTCTCTCCGGCATTGATAGCAAAAGTGAGAATCCATCATGATTATTTAAGTATTGAAGCGGTTTCCATTAAAAAAATCTGTTGCACAGGCTTTGCAGGCATCCTCAGAAACTCAAGGGCAACCGGGTTCCTGAGGATGCTTCACAGGGTAATTCCCGTTATAATTCAACATATTTTACCAGGAACAAGACGAGGCAATCGGCTCATTAAGATAACGGGTTTTTTGCTTGCAAAAATTGCAGCGCCAGGTCATTCAAAGCTCGATCAGCACGAACAAAACACTAATCTTGGGTTTAATAACTTAAACAACCTAGTATTGTGCWAATCCTGAGTATTGCTAATCGGTCTTTGAACAACCCGACCCAGTAATGCAAACTGTGTTTCCCCAGCCGTCAGTTGGTTTTCGCGTATTTCGCTWTTTTTCTGGACTCATTTCAGCTCTTGATTATCGCAACATTAAGATTAAAGTGAAGGAAATATTGCTAATCATAACGTTTTCGTCATTTTAAGTTCTTTGTGTTCCTTTCATTCTCATTTCGATATTTTTCATTCTTTATACCAATCTATTGAAAAGACAAAAATCGTGAGATCGATCACAATCTATCTTACTGTCTACATACGTGCCATTCAGCGGTTCCATTCTGATGACGTCAGAGTACATAATGTGTACACAGACACGTTCGATAAACGGATTTGTCAGAAAATGACGTCATATGAGACAGCGTTGTGTAAATATATTTCYTGAAAAATTGGAAATTATTTCAACAGCGTCATTTTGACATATTCCAATGACGTAATATTCTCATGTATTGATGACGTCATTTGTTGTAATAGCATCATTTTTGCAAATGACGTCATTTTACCACATAACTTTCTATGACRTCATTTCTTTATAAATGACATCATCATAGCTTTTTATTCATTTCGTCATTGTTTTCATAATTACGTGGAGTAATTTACCGCCTAATCTCGATTGTTTAACTTTGATTGACATCAGGCAAGGCATGTATACGATGGGAGACTGGAAATGTGCCGCAAGGCTCTGATCGCGCCGACMAAGGGAGTCACCGATAAGGTGCAATTCAAAATATGGCTAAGCCCTCTCGATGGCAAGAAACCCGTTAACTTTTCCAGTACGGAATTCGTSCAGGTACTCGCGCATCGATTTGTTCCTCTTGACGCTGACCAGATGGACGTGCTGTCAGTTCAAGTAGAAGACAAAACAACAGCTGTTTTGTTTAATCTCCGTGCAAAGCATCATGATGTCAGCCAACTGAATAAAASTAAAGATACGCTTGGTTTGGACAGGCTTTTTAAATTTGACAAGCCTTTCAAGTTAAATCTGGTTAACCGACCTTGGCTTGTGTTTAAGGTCAACTCGCGTCGTCTATCCTGCACTCAYAAAGAGGTACGTCGTTACCCTGGTGGGGCAGGGGTGCAGGACCCCACCCTTTTTATATGGGGTAACAAAAATATGAAGAACCCCACCCCGTATAACAATCGTTTTTCGGACATTGCGGTATTATATTGCTTTTATGTACTTTAGAACGACCCATGTTCATTTACTGGACGTTTAATACYTTAGAAATGAAACCATTGATGTCCAAGCCCYAACTTGCTAACTTGATGGTCCTCCCTGTCGATCAATGATGGAAAAATGTATGTTTTCGTAATTAATGTTTTCAGGAGTTTCCAGCAACGGTCTTCAAACCATTACCAAACAACGATACCAAAACGTTTAAAGTTGAAATAGACGGAAAGATTCGGTTAATACCAAAAAACCAGGTCTACACTTACCAAGCCAAGAATGCAACTGGTTTAGGTCAAATGACTTTCGTTGTCTGCAGGTACGTAGAAAAAATACCACTATATTCAACAAATTTTTCTTGTCCTTTTTTGAGTCGCTTTTGACGTCATAAAATATTTAAAATTTGCTGGGCTCTGGCTCCTGGTTTACTTTAAAGGTTTAAATGTTCACATTTAGTTAAGAGTGAGTCAAAAGTACATAAAATGAAAATAAACGTTTGCGATTCGTTTTTTTATCAGTAAAGTTTAAAAATTTCCGAGTTATCATTCTTGTTTTTAACTGAGGTATGCACAAGGCATGATGGTGTCATTTGTGGTATTCGAAATTAGGTTAATTTGAATCGCACAGGACATTGTATACTTTTTTCGCTTTTGCATCTGCAAATTAATCACACATTGTGAAATTGGGAGTCCTTCGCTTGCACAATTACTGCCAGCAAACAAAAATATTGTCACCCAAGTCTCCTAATAGCATTTAGTTAATAAATAAAAATAGTAAATCATTCATTCTAACAATAAACCAATTTATTAGTCAAACATTAATCAGTTGTTTATCAGATTACATGACTAGTGATTAATAATATCAATAAACAGTAAATTAATATTATTCATATTCTATGCTCATATCAATTTTACAAATCTATTTTGTCATTTATTTGGTCTGTGAACGTTAAGATCAAAATACACACTGCAAAATTACTCAACTTGTCTTGCAACATTCAGTTTGGAAACCGATGCTGAATCTACAATATGAATAAATTTTGTTACAAAAAGCAGAGTTCCAAGTACTTGTTGCATCAGACTTTTTTACCTTGCAGAATAACATTTCTGTTATGAAACAGAAGAGACAAACAACATTGTTATTCCACTCGGTAAAAGTTATATGTTGAAAGAAAAGTTGAGTAATTTTGTTAATTGTATTACTTAACCTTTATAACAACTTCTCAAAACTGTAACTATAAAAATAATACATCTYGAACATTAAGTAATATACAATGGCAAAGAAACCTTTTTATRTTTTTCAAATYCAACCAAAGTGAAACTAGTTGAATTTGGTTCAAATTATGGAGTTTTCAAAGYCACTTCTCCTTTTCAATAATAATTTTCATCCAAATTATAATATATATTCCTTGACAAATCTATTTTCATAAAAACTYGGAAAATTCCTTTGTTATTTCTGTTTACAAACTTTTAACTCTTTTATAATGCTCTGAAGTATATGTGAATACAAAAAACTTTAATTCTCAATATTTTGAAGATATTTTGTTATAAACCCTCAGATATTCTTACAGTCGCTTGAATAAATCCTTTAGTTCCTGAAATCTGGAATTTTCGAGGTTTATCTTTGGTTAAATCAATACACAGCTTTCATAGGAATATTTACATCGCGACAAACATTCCAGAAACATTTCRCTCATGGTGTTCTTCAAATGACTGTAAACTTGTTGAAAAAAAGTGTTTAGAAAGCATTACTTAGTGATMTAAATAACATTGTTTAAATATCAGTYTAYAACAAACTCACTCTCCRAAGTGGAGTTTAGTTGACTCGTAGTGAGCAGATAKTAGTTTRTAGATTTCTTCACTAAGAGTCTTCCACTTCTCACCATGCTCCTCCTCGTCAATCTTATCTGGATGGTATGCCGTCAAAGCAGTCCTCAAAATCTTRCCCACTTCTTTGATCTTATCGGGAATATTAACAATTTCTTTCCATGTTTTGATCTCTTCKTCTTTCGGCTTTTCCCAATTTCCATGTTTTGGAGGATAAGTGTTGTAGACGTAGATGAGTAGATCTATTTTACCTWCAAAATGTAAKATATTAATATTAATATTATACATAAATTATTTTGCAAGTAAAAACATTCCACGTAAAGGATAGAGTAAACAGCCATCCTTCATTTAATGCAAAATTATAATTTTTCTTACTTTCATAAGAATTGTTTATGAAATGTAACAAAAAAACATTCCTCTGTACCTATTTACATACAATTTTCCTATTTACATAAGAATTGTTTATGAAAATGTAACAAAAAGAAAAACATTCCTCTTTACCTGTGTTATTCTTYTTCRAATCTTCCATCTCTTCTTTAATCGCTTCCAGTTTCTTTTCCCTTGCTTTCTGTTTCTCTCTTTCATCCCACTGTTGTTCTTCTATCTGGAATTCCTGTAAAGTCGAGACGATTTCCTGGTACCACGGTTGAGTGAAAAAGGTGCGAGGTTTCATGGACTCAACCAACTCAAAACTCTTCTTGTAATACGTCTTAGACCTCTGCCTTAGTTTCAAGACTTTATTGTAGACATGACCAAGCCGGCCAAGTGCAATGGCTTCTTGCTCGAGGTCAAGCTCTCTGGCGAGGATGACAGCTCTCTTGTACCAATCTATCACATTCCAGACCATGTCCATGTTMAGATTCTCTTCTTCTTTCAGCGCTGTTTCCAGCATCTGTGAGCCATAATTTCGAGCTTGGACCGATTCGGCAGTGCATGTTGTGTAGAACACATCTTTTTCTAACACGCTGATCTCGGAGTCTTCGTAATCGGAGTTGCCAGAAAGTCGCTTTGCTTCCTGTATGGGGTAATAACAGTCCCTCATTCGACTCAAACACCGCGCGAAGTCGCCATCATGTATCTTATTCACACCATCGTGAAAATACGAGTTTCCAATCTTGAGATGCAGTTGAACGATGAAAAAGTTCACATGTAGAATGTCGATCATGGGCATTAGGGTTTTGATTCGCTCGTCGAGGTCTTCAATCTCGTCGCTTGCGTCGAGGAATTCTTCAATACACAAAGCAAAACTCTGCCAAATRTCGCCTCTCCAAACTTCGCTTTTGCACTCTTCTCCTTCAAGTGATGAGACRTCAAATGCTTTTATAGCTGTTCTTAAATGAAAGAACACGAGTACATTTCCATCGCTTGTTTCTCTGAAGAGTTGAGCGAGCTTCCAACTCGCTTTGGCGAGGTTCTTGGACGCCGAGGCGAGTTCGTCTTTGTTTGAAGCAAGGCTTTGCGCTCTCTTGTAGTACTCTATGGCGTCTTGTAATCTGCCTTTCTTTAGCGTGTACCCAATACCGTAAGCCTCTGCTTGTTTGAAGTGATCATTGCCTTTACATCTCTCTTCTTTGCTGCTGGAAGCGGCCATGTTGTCAATTTCGCACATGTGGACGTGAAACTCGACACCCGATATGGGTTTATTTTCCCGCGTTTTGTGTGCGCGTGCGTTGGTCAATAAGATGCCGTTACTTCCGGTCTTAGTTGAGAATAAAAAAATAAATAAAAGCAAAAAAATTAACTTGTAACTCCATATTTTTTATTTTTTATTTAAATTATCCCTGTTTTTATATCATTCGGATCCCTTACAAGTATTTTTTTAATACTTAGAAGTCAGTATAGTGTCATGCCTTGCGTGACATATTGCGTGACAGTCTGAACACACAGGAAGCTCAAAGCAAATCAAACCCGAGAGTGATGTAGCTCGTTTTATAAACGTATTTCTGCATGGATGTTGTTTTCCTTCTTATATCGACATATCGAATGACTTCGGGGAAAAAATTGAAAGCAAAATCGTCTCTCGGACAATTTTGTTAGATAAGTATCGATTATATTATTTCAACATATTCAATGCTCAAAACCATTCAAAACAAACTAACTATACAAACACTACTTTGAATTACTATAGTGAATAATAATGAAAATTAAAATTAAGTCAAAATTAGAGCGCCTCACAAAATAAAATTGTTATCGGTCAACTTGTGGCAAGTCTCAGGTCAAAATTCATCCAAGCATAGATTCATATGCAATTTCAAGCAATGTTTCCGACAAATTTCCGACAATTTCCGTCAATTCTATGCTAAATTGATTATTTCTAATAGTTTGAAGGAGGACTGAACGGGATTTCAAGTCCCCGAAATTAGTTCCCGTCCGAGGCGTTAGGAGAACTTTATTATTCGGGAGAGAAAAAAGCGAAGGAAATACGTAAAAAAAAAGAAATATATTGATTCATCGCTTCTCCACCCAGGTTTTCAGTTCAGTTTCATAATTTTGGATACATGAAACACCGTTTGTTATTCTCCAATTCCCGAACGTGTTTTAGGAAACAAAAGCTATTAAAATAGCCGACTTTAGGTATTTTGGTTCAGTGGCCATGCACATCGGGGAAATATAAGAAATCAAGATTATCCATTGTTTTCCCGGAGCCTCTTTTGTGTGCGTTCTTTTCACTACATAGTCATCGAACCAAAATATCTAAAGTTGACTATTGTCCTGTATGCTATTCATGTCATTCCTATGAGCTTGTTAGTCAATAAGTTTTATAATACCATGATCACCTCGGATTCCATTGTCTTCCGAGGGGTTTACAAACCCGAATTTCCCTCATGAATAACATGAGGGAAATTTAGAAGACAAAGGATTCTTTTGTCTTTTRCTAAATTTCCCTCTATTTAATTTATGCAAGGGAAATTTAGTAAAAGACAATACTAAATCTCCCTTGCATAAATTAAATAGAGGGAAATTTAGTAAAAGACAATACTAAATCTCCCTTGCATAAATTAAATAGAGGGAAATTTAGTAAAAGACAAAAGAATCCTTTGTCTTCTAAATTTCCCTCATGTTATTCATGAGGAAAATTGGAGTTCCTTTGCCTTCTATACTTCCCTAATGCCGTGCACAATGAAAATATAGTAGACTAGATACCCCTCAAAAGAATTTCTACTGAAAACAGGTCTCCTAGACCATATGGCACTAGCATGTCTTGCATGTGGGACATTGTTTACCTAACTGCGCATGCCTGTGCACTTAGTTAAAAAAAACGAAAATGTCTATGACAGATTTATTCGCAGTCACATAAAAAATATAATRAAAAATCACTTGTTTAAAATCGTTTGCTATAGCACCACATTGCACTTACACTTTTKCCAAMTCGAAATGAAGCATCGAAAGAAATAGCGTTCAATACAGCAAAACTGACATAATCAATTTTAATTTATTGAACTTAGCTGTCTGTTCTAAACGAAAACCTCTCAGACATGTTGTTTGAGCATTGTATACGAATTTTAATTCTGCGATATAAATATTATCTTTGGTGCCCTAAGGGACTACAAAACAAGTGCATGAAATAGTACTAACGAACAAATGTTGAATCAATTACACAATGAAGACAAAGTAATGTGTTTGAAAACTATTGTTTGATTACATCATTATCAAGCCTAGGTGTCCTAGGTGTACAATACGCTAAAGAGCTAGTTATGCATTTTGGCGGCGTTGTTTACGCTTCCTTGACTAGAAAACTGAACATGATATCAAAGATGTTTCCTTACTTCCTCGCCGATAATAGTATTACAAAGTAATACCATGTCACTCGTGAAATTAGTGATTAAATTTCCCCGATACCTCGGGAAAATTTGTAAAAGTCCCTCGGGCTGCGCCCTCGGGACTTCCACAAATTTTCCCTCGGTTTCGGGGAAATTTAATCACTAATTTCCCTCGTTCCATGGTATTACTTATAATAAGTATATTATCTTCAGAGGAATCGCATCAGAAAAAAAATGGTATAAAGGCCCGTTTACACTTGCGATTCTTGCAGAGCGATTCTCGCGGCAATCGTCGCGCGACAATCGCTTAAGTTTCGAACATAGTGCTTGAAAATTGGCTGCAACTTCGCGGCGATTTTCGATCGCCGCAACAATCGCAGGGCTTTTTACACGTACGATTTTAGTTGCGCGATAGCAAAGCGGCGACAATCGCGCTGAAAAAAATTTCAAGTGTAAACGGGCCTTAAGACGGCGCATATAGACTGGACGGTTGGGGATTGATTCGTGAGGCAGTCATGTGTCAAATAACTTTTTTTACTAAATTAATTCTATACTAAATTGATTATTTCTAATAGTTTGCTTATCATTAGCTAGTAGTAGTTTAAAAAAGGTAGAGCTGGAAACAAGGTACAAGTTACTTCCTCGGGTTTCTAGTTACTGCATTTGGTACTTACAGAGGGATTGGCTGGATACCTCATTAATAATTAAAGACTATGCATGAGAAGTGAAAGTGAAAGTAAATCGGTTTATCGCATGCAAGATTCTTGAAAACGTACATTAATTCAGACAGATAAATGGCTACAAGTGCTAGTAAAACAGAGAGAATTAAAGGAAATCATTTTCTCGAAGAGGCTGAAGAGGAAGGCATTGGTTATGCTCTAAAGAAACACAGATTACAAGATGCTGTAGAGTGTTACAATCGAGCGCATAACCTTGCTTTTGACCACGACGAACTGGCTTCAGCTTCCAAGAACCTCGGCAAAGCAAATTTGAAACTTGGCCAGCTTTTCAGAGAAAGAAACGAGGGGAGAGTCCTTGTATTTTTTCATCTGAGGAAAGCCATAACAGCTTTCGATGTGTCGCTAACTGAAGGAGGAGACTGGAAAAGTGAAGAATGGAAAGCCGACATTTGTCAGTCAGTTGCTTTGTGTATTGAAAGATTCGTTGAGGCAAGCGACGAGATTGAAGACCTCGACGAGCGCATCAAAACTCTCATGTCCGTGATCAAAATTCTACATGTGAACTTTTTCATCGTTCAACTGCATCTCAAGATTGGAAACTCTTATTTTCACGATGGTGTGAATAAGATACATGATGGCGACTTCGCGCGGTGTTTGAGTCGAATGAGGGACTGTTATTACCCCATACAGGAAGCAAAGCGACTTTCTGGCAACTC